ATAATGGTTGGCATTTTGAGTGGCCAAAAAGCGCTATCTCCCCGACCCCTCTTTAAGCAAATGTTTTCAGGGTTTTTAGTTTTTGTCTTTTTGAGACAGGGTGGTCTCGAACTCACTTTGTAGCTAGGCTGGCCTCAAACTCACAGTGATCCTCCTGCCTCCGCCTCGCAGTGCTAGGAGTGTAGGGGTGTGCCAATATGCCCAGCCGCTCTCCCAGTTTTTCCCCCACATTCTACAATATGAGCAGAAAAAGTGAAGAGCTCTAGGTAGAGAGAAGCCAGTGGTTTGCCGAAAGTCCTTTGGGCATTTGAAAAAAAATTCTCTCACGTGTGGAAGAGTGTATTGAAAATCTATGTGTTTGCTGTTGTTTGCTCAGCGGGGATAGATGCACGTTCTCTCTGGGACAGGCACGCTTTTTCTGGCCAGTGTCAGTTTGGGGCTGGGGTGTGTTTTATAGAGCAAGCATCATTTCCTTCCCATCTGTTCAGATGGGGTGCAGTGCGAGTACCATTGCCAAGAGCGCGCTGTCATCAGGAGGGGGTGGGCTCATTCTTTTTCACTCCATGTGGCAATGGATGGTATCAGAAACGGTAGCCTCCCATGGGCCACACCCCACGGTTTGCCCTGGGTGTGTTAGCTTCCCAGTTAGTCCCTGGATGTTCTGTTATGTCTCAGTACGTTATATTCAGTGGTCATTTGTGAGCTAGCTTTGTGTTCTCCTAAAGAATAGTTCTGAGACTGGACGTGGTGGCGTGCGCCTGTAATCCCAGCTCTTAGGAAGCTGTAAACAGGTGGATCACTATGAATCTGACCTAGTAGTGAGTCCCTGAACACCCTGTAGACCCTTCTCTAAAATACAGAAGAAGAAGAAAAAAAAAGAATAGTTGTAGCAGTCATTCTTCTGAAGAATGAAGTGGAACCCGGTGCATGATACCCAGCCATGAACGTTGGCGCAGGTTGGATGAGGTCCGGGGCAGCAGAGCCGGGGATGGGTGGGCATCGAAGGTGGTGGTGACTGGATCGGCAAGACATGCCAGGGAAGCTGGTGAGGGGAACCAGAAACGCTTGTGTGCACAGGGCACTTTCACTTTGGCTCCCTGTGGGCACCTGATTCCAATCCTTGGGAGGGCTTCTGAGGACATTTGGGGCGCTTGGGGGAGTGGAGGGAGGGTGAGCTCCAGATTATCAGTTTCTGTCCTGGACAGACAAGTTCATACAGCCCTGGCAGCAAGTCAGGGCCAAGTCATGTATGCTCCTAACTAGGATGCTTTAAGCTCCGGCCTCGGGCCAGCCAAATAGCTCGGCAGACTAAAGTGCCTGCTTAGGCAGACACAGGACCAGGGTTTGATTCCCGACTTGCTGTGCGGGCTCCACCCTCGGGGTGCACTGAGACCTTGGTTGAGACTGGGCATGGTGGCGCAGGCCTGTAATCCCAGCTCTTCGGAGGCTGAAAACAAGTGGATCACTATGAGTCTGATCTATGTAGTGAGACCCTGTCCTAAAATACCAAAAAACAACAACAAAACCCTCTAGCCTCGAGGCAGGCTGACCTGTATGTGGGGAGGGAGTGGCTTCCTGGAGTTTGAACTCCTGTCACCTGGGCTCTGTGCCAGGATCTGAAGATCCCCACATGGCTCAGAGTCTCAGCCTGCGTGAAGCTTAGGATCCAGTGGGGCAGATGGATGACAGGCACGAAGCCGCTGGCTGGTGCTAAACAACTGATGTGTTTTCAGTGGTGGGATGTGCAGTGAAGAAGAGAAAGCAGGGTAACGGGAGTGTGTGTCATGAGGGGAAGGCATTGCAGGATCTTGTGTTGAAAGAAGGCAGGCTAAAGGCTAAGGGTTGGGATTCAGCTTTAAACTTTAGTGGTGTATCAAAGAGGCTTAAGATGAGCTAGGTATGTACCAAGTTCCCATGATAGTTGTATTTACACTAATAATAAGGGGGGAGAGACTGAACAGCTCTAGATTAAGCACTGAATTCCCCCCCCCCCGTGTAAGTTCAACATGACTGCACTTCTTTCTGTACTGTGCAGTGTATACCATTATATCTAGGTATGAATTAATTACAGGTTTTGTGACTTGTTAATGCCAGTGTTCAGAATTCTCCGGTGTCTCCCTGGCTCACTCAGCATGAAGTCTGGAGCCCTCCTCTCTGCTTTGCTCCCCCTCTCCTCGGTCTTCCCTGGGCTCACTGGGCTTCAGCCAGAGGGCCTCCAAGCTGTTATGTGAACTCTCCAGGTGCTGACCTGTCTGCTGCCTCCCTCTGCCACTCCCTGTTGGTAGCCACAGGCCTCCCCACTCTTCCTTCAAGGGAGCTTTCTGAAATTGCACTGATCCCAGATTATCAGATAGGCCTTGGAAAAAGGCCTCCCTTCATCAGATAATACTTTCCCTCCTCATCAGCTGATGCCTTCCCTCATTGCTTTCTCTTCTTCACTGCGCGTGCCACCGCTGAGCATGTGTTAAATGTTCAGTGTCTCTGTCTCTTGTGTGCTGTTATAACAGCACCACAGATCAGATAGTTTATGTGGAAGTGTGTTTGATCACAGTCTACAGGTTGGGAGGTCCAGGATCCCGGGGTTACATCTGGTAAGGCCTTCTTCTTGCTGAGTCGTGACACGGCAGAAGGTGGCAATGGGGGAGAGCACACAGGACAAGAAAAGAGCACTGATTGTGATTTTATACCAAAGCCACTTTAGGATAATAGCATCAGTTAGCTCCTAAAGGTCCCAATTCAGAATTCCTACTGCATTGGGAATGAAGTTTCTGACACATGAACTCTGGGAAATGCATTCAAACCATAACATCAAGTCCCCAGAAAGTGGGGATTGGTTTTATTCATTGTTCTCCTTCCTGACAGTTGGAATTAAGTCCTGACACGTAATTGGTAGGCAGTAATTGTTAGTATTTGCTGAATTTGAATGTCCCTTTTGCCCATTGGACTCTTAGCCCTTAGAAATCTTCCCTTTTATGTACTTTATGTCCTTGTGACCAGCATGGTTCCTGCACCTAGATGTTCTTCTGTGACCTGTGGACGTAGGCTCAAATGATCCGCCTACCTCAGCCTCTGTCTTAAGTTATTTTTCATGTTGTGGAGACAAAATACCTGATGCCCAAAATTGTGGAAAGCAAGATTTATTTAGCTCACAGTTTGTAGAGGTTTCAGTCCATCATCAACTGGCTCCAAGGCGGGGAGGCATGGCACAGCGGCAGTACTTCAAGGCAGCCAAAGCAAAAAGGGAGAGAGCCAGCTTCTTTCTCCATTAGACTGCATGCAGGCCGCCTGTTCTCCAAGTGGATGTCGCACCCTTGCCATCTCTGTGTCCTCCTCTTGCACAGGCTGAGGATGCTTAAAAAGTGAGGACCCTGGCCCTCTGCTGAGTCACTTAGTTAAAACTTCTCAGGTTGACACAATGAACAATATCCTAGCGAGGTGAGGGCACAAGTTAGGTTGGCTTCTAGGCTTCTCAAGTTGACACCATGTATCAAGTATCACAGTGTCTCAAGTAGGTGTAACTATAGACCTGCACCACCATGCCTGGCTAGCCAAGTTCTTCATCCTGTATCACCCTCTCTCCAACCCCCATGAGTCAATGCTAATAAATAGCTAAATAGTTTTATAAGGAAGTAAATGTTTACTTGGTGCCTTTCTTTCTTTGCTCTTTTCTAGTGGCCCTAATCGTGGGCATTATATTACTATTGTGAAAAGCCATGGTTTCTGGCTTTTGTTTGACGACGACATTGTAGAGGTGGGTATGCAGTTTTTCTTTTATAGGAATAGTGTATAGGTGGGATTTGAGGGGGATGTGTATGTTTTCTAAAATAATACAATTTCCTCATAATCTGACTTGAAAACTTTATTTTTACGTTTCTGTCAGAACCAATGCTGGCTGCTGCCATTCTCTGTGGGCAGTGGAGGGGTGTGATTGTGGACTGCTGTGTTCTTGTTAACTGATTAGCCATATAGATGGCATCTCTAAATTTTGATACCACCATAAATCACAATTCCTACCATGACTAAAGCTCTCTGAATGTAGGACAAGTAATAGATTTCAGAATTCTACTCAATTTGTTTTATAACAAATTTTCCTATATTGATGGTATTGTTATTTAAATTATGTATTTTTTTAATCTGTTGGATTTGGAAATCTTTATATTACACTGAGACATTTCACATATTGACTTTGATGTAAAGTAATACTGGCTGGAGTGAATGCTACACTCAAAGACATGCTCTAATTTAACTCACTGGGTTAACTTTTAGTAGAATGACAGTAAAAGAAATGAACTTTGATGGCCTGAGTGAATTAAGAGATAACGAAGAGTCAGTCAGAGACCTTTCTGTTTACCATTTTGAGAGACAGAATTCCTGGTTTCTTCAGAGAATACATAGGAGTGGTTACAATGTATGATGAAAGGGTGGCTTTCCTCCCTATGATTTGCAATTTTATGTAACAATGCCCTCTGTCAAGTCAATGCAGTATCCATTTGATATCAAAAATTTCTAATTATAATTTTATAACAACTAATGTTGTCTTACATTTTATTGTATTGTTCATTAGCATTCCTCTCCCCAGGACTCATGGTAAATAACTACATTTTTTTTTTCCCTTCACTGCAGAAAATAGATGCTCAAGCTATTGAAGAATTCTATGGCCTGACGTCAGATATATCAAAAAATTCAGAATCTGGATATATTTTATTTTATCAGTCAAGAGAGTAACTTAAAGAACTATGGGACTAATTCAAGTGGAGGGGGCATTGTTCAAAGCACTATTCCCCAGTTTCTCCGCAGACCCCCTTTCCTAGCGGCCCAGTAGCATTATCACTCCGAGTCTGAATGGTCTGGCTGTGTTAAACTTTCTCCTCTTGTTTTACATGCAGCACTACTCTTGGTTTTATTTTGGTCTGAGGTAGCATTAACTGCAATCAGATTGTCATAAGATTTATATGAGTAACAGTTGCTAATTTGAGGATTTAGGTGAATGGTATGCCACTTCTTATGTCTGACTAAATGAGAATGACATTTCCAGTGAATGTCACAGTCTGCTTTAAGTGTTTATGAAACTTCTGGGGTCTCCTTTCAGTGCATTCCTTTAACTTGCCCCTGGAAACATTGCTACACAGTTTTAGCTTGTTTGCTACTTTTTGGACAGAAGGATGGAAGAATTTGGTAGATGTTTGTTCACCTTTTAGGGCTGCAACTATAGCTTTAAGTATGTGCAAGGGAAAATGTTTAAAAGTGAGTAACCTTGATGTTAAAAATCATCCTCCACGTAGAGCAGGGTGAAGAGAAGCTTGCGTGGTGGCTGGAGTCCGCACCAGGCTGTGCTGACCTAGCCACGGAATTCCAGGGGCTGCGAAGTTGTGGAGCTCAGGGCAGGCAAAGCCAACAGGAAGAAGTTTCTGTGGACAGTAAAAAGATTGCTTTTCTTATCTTTTTACCAAAACCGAGTTTCAGGAAAATACTTCAATGCTGTTAATTTTTAGTGACACTTTTCTTCTGTAAGGTCCTGTGAGTTGTACTTGTCCCGTTCCTGGCACTGCTAAGCTTCTCGAGCTGACTTTCCCATCCTGCTGATGTCTCGCGGTCGGCGGTCCCAGGGTGGAGACACCATGCTGACTGCCCCTGGCACCTCTCTCCGCAGCCTGCCAGCACCGCCACCTTCCAGTGGGGAAGGAGTGGCAGCACTGTACCTTTATGCCTCGGCCACCTCACCAGCTTACTTGGTTCATGCATTCAGTCTGTTCCCTGAGGCACTGGTGAGTTCCAGGGCTCGGGTGGAGCCCTCGATAGAGGCAGTGCTGGAGTCGGCTGGGTGTGAGGGGGGTCGACGGGAGCGTCGTCGGGCTGCTGGAGCCGTGAACAAGACGGCAGCTGTTTCTCTGGCTCAGACTCCTAGGATGCTCAACAAGACAGTTTTTTTGGAAGAACCTCATCTCACTATGGTTACTTTTACCTTTTCCACTTTTGTTACATATGTATTTATTAGAGCATTTGAGTATTGGTACCTTTTATTAAAAAGGTCAATTTGGTGTTTTGCTGTTGAGCTGGTGTTTGGTTTCCTACAAATACTGAGTCCTAAATCTTGACTTCCTTTGGGAGGTCGGTTGACTTCCGTACACTATAAATACTGTGAACATTATTTTGTTAACCTAATACATCTGCGAACAAACATGCAAACTCTTGGCATAATGTGAACTAAAACTGAAAATGTTAGTAGCCATTTTGCAACCATGAAGAGGATAGCACTTTATTTAGATAAAAACTGGATTTTTTATTTTTTAAATATCTTGAACTGTTTGTTGCTCAGAACTTAGGCATGCCAACACTTCATTTGTTCATGCTTGAACTGAAATGTTTTACTCTTCACTGGAGAAGACAAAACAGGGTGATCTTCATCTTGCTGTTTCATACAAGTGACGAAAATGTCCCTTGCCTTGATTAGAGGCAAATTTGTATTTGTAATAGTTTCTTTTTCCTCCATGAAACATTCTGTAATCAGTTACCTAGGAAGCGAGTCTTCATTCTTCAGGGGAAAGTCACTTTCCAATTGAAGGAGATTGATGTAAAGAAATATTTGTACTATTTATAATCCATATGTTCGACTGCAAGTTACAAAGTTTAAGAAAATGATGGTTGAATTCTTAATATATTTGGAACTGATTCATAAGAAAAACTATTAAATTATCTTTGAAACCATTTTTGGAGCTAATTTATTAGATAAAAATGTTTCAATTGCAGGCCTGTAGAAATACTAGTTCAGTGCTAAGTTATAAGTTCTCAGTGCATTTTTCTTTCCCTTTTTGAATCTGTAGAGATTCCCCTAGTGAGCTAACTGAAGTAATTGCTTTTAATAGAGTCAGTTAAAATTTAGTATTCATGGCTAGATTTTTAGAATAAAAAAAGATGGGTAGATTTTTGGAATAAAAAAATGTGGAAAATATTGCACAGACATTCAAACAGTTACGTGATGCAAGAAAAGAGGACTAGCGAAGACCAGACACACTTCTCTGCCAACACTCCATCAGCTTTAAAAGATTTAGAGCTATCTGGTAACTTACCTCTTCCTCTTCTATTCAAAAACAAAAACAAAAAAACCTCTAGGCAGCTACATTTTCTCCCCAGTCCTGTTTCCTTATGTAAGGACAGCATGCACACATCGTGTTACTTTTGTCCCTGTTCCTAGCATAAAGCAGAGACTGCTTGGGGTATGCACGGCCATTCCACGGTCACAGTGATAGCACAAAGGCTCAGCAATACTCCCTCCCATGGCCAGGGTTTTGTGTGTCTTTTTTCCAGCAGGAGTGAGTAGGTCTGCTGGATTTCTCTTAACTTCTGGGTGTTTAAGATAAGTTATAGTGTTTTACACTTGAAAAACTAAATATTTGCTTTATTGGTTACTTAGTAGTTTCCTGTCTAGATTATGGTACAGTGTGCTAAAGTCTTTTGTTTAAAAGCAAATTTTGGTGAAATGCTGGCGTCCAGTCCCGTTATCTTGGTGCATCTCCCATTCCAAGGCAGTACCTTGTGCACTGGGACAAGAACAAGAAACAGCATTGGCAGGCTAGACTAGGAGCCAGGAATACTTGACTTTATAGCTTGGTATATTTTGATTTTAGGATGAAATGGAAAAAAAAAAAAAAAAAAAAAAGACAGAATTGTTCCCTTTGCATTTATTTCCACGGATATCCTTACTTTTATGGGCATGCCTAAGAAGAAACTACGTTCTAACTGGTGGTTAGGGCTTATTTTAGATATTGGAGTGTAGCTTTATTACAGATGGATTTTATCTTAGAACATTGCATTTTGATCGACTTTGTATATTCATGTGTATTAAAATACTGTGCACTAAATGTTTTGCTCTCCTTTGCTACTATCTGGTCAAGGCATTTATCAGCACTATTGTTATTAACTCATGTAAATGGCATGGGTTAGTGAAAATCATTTCCTGTTTTCTGCCTAATTAAATTTCTGTTTTCTAGCATTTCATTAATTTATTTTTGGCTCCCATTTTTGTATAACAAAAATAGTTACTGTATCTCTGTGGCATTCACTTGATTTTGTTGCTAAAAGAAAAGACTTGTAGTTTTTATTTAAATAATCTGTACCTTAGTTTTTTAATGTAACCAATTCAAGCACTTTAAGCAATAATGTCAATCTTGTGAAGTTTCAATCAGTTTAACACCCTGCCTCTAAAATTGTTTGCAAAAAATAAAAAATTAAAAAAAAAAACCAGGAATTCTCTTTCTAGAGAATTATATCTGGGTACTCTTACACACATGACCTAAGATCCATTCTATCAAAGTGTGAGTCAGGAGTGAGTCTCATGTCCCTGGAATTATTTCAGACATATATTGAAGCAGAAGTGTAAAGAAGATTCTGGTTACTGTGATAGTAAAGGGAGCGTGACTGTCAGGGTTGATAAAATCAGTGTTCTGGAGATAACACTTTTTTGAGTGAAAGAGATCAACAGAATTTACCTAGAAACTCATATCTGGGGAATAGCTCATTGAGAAAAATCAGTGGTTGAAGGATAGGTAGCTCATTCAGCCTCACAATGAGTTCCTTTCTGGGACTAGTTAAATAAAGCAGCTTTCAGCTCTGGGGTTCTGTCAGCATCTGGTGTCTAGATAGGTATGGGGATGTGGGCCTGGCCCTTCTGGGCTTGTTTGAGCTGTGGGGATCCCAGCTTCATGAATCTGCAGCTCAGCACGCAGCACTACCTCTCCAGAACGCAGCCAGTGGCAGTCCCTGTCCCGGGTCTCAGAGTGAAGCCCGCAGTTACCCCCAGGAGGAACACTCTCCCAGCCAGTCACCAGGAGGGAATCCATGTGAGGAACAAAGGTTATCTGAATCCATACCTGGGCGCAGTTTTGGAAATACACCCCATGGGTCAGAGAGGCAGTAGTGTGTTGTGATGGTGAATGCCTTTCCTTTGTTGGAGTGATAGAGTTGAACCTGAGTGGGAACAGAGGCTATAGGGAAAGCCACCTGCTGCCAGGAGATTCAAAGGAAGAGAAGACCTTGAGAGCATGCTTTGCTTTTCCAGGCCTTGTTTTCTCCATCTGTTAAATAGGGCTTATAGATAGGCCTGTTACTACCAAGCTACCATGATAACACAGCTTCTGAAGAATGAAAAGTGTTCGTTGTCTCCAAGTGTCCCTCTACTTTGATTGACACTTAAAACACCTCTGACAGGGATTGAAGCCTTCAATATCATCCATTGCCTTATATTTACATGAGGATAAAAACAGTTGCTAAGTTATTGCTGTGCCCACTGGAGAACTTTTGATTGTGGGCATAATCTTAAAAACAAACTACATAGAACTTCCTAGAGATGCCTTGGGTGGATGAATTTTAATTAAAGTTATTTTAAACCTTTGAGTGTGAGGCATTGTGGCACGATTTGGAACCTAGAAAAGTAAAAGAGAAGAGTTTCTCTTCTCATTTCTTGGCTCAGAAGAAATATCTGTGTAGAAAAGAAATTTAAAGTTGTGTAAGTAGCTTGTGAGGTTTGCCCTGGTCTGCCTGTGCAGATGGCACTTTTACAGAGTAAGCCTGTTCCTCTCTTCCGTGGGGCCCACCTTCTTTCCTGCCTGCTGTTGGCATTGCCTTAGCCTTCCACCTCCTAGGGATGACAATTTTAAAAACAAAGTGTAAAACCATTATTTTGCAGAAGTGGACTTGAATGTTTCACCTTTTAATTGTCATAATAAAGGAGAAAAATATATTGAGTGTCCTAACAATGATTTTATAAATCAAGTGTCTGCCATTTGTAAGCCATTTGTTTATGTTATTACCAAATAATTAAAGCACATTCCAACTTAACCAAATTAAATTAAGGCACATGAGTCTTTTAAGCTGTATGACTAGAGTGACTTTATTTGCCTAACCTGCGTTCTGATTTTTGGGGTACCCGTCTGATTTAAAGTGCTTTGAACCAAACACACAGGAGCTTACAAATGAAGGATAACTTTGTTTTGGTTATTCGAGACTAGTCAGAAATGACATGAAATTTTGTAAAACGGATTCCTAATTCACTTCCCTTGTGTTTAATAATAAAGTATTCACAAGCTTGAGGGTATTCAAGTTATAAATTACATGGGTGTGTATTTTACATTTTTCTCCCAAGAGTGAGCATGTAAGGTGTTGAAGAGAGTGTCTTACTTTTCTTATTGCTGGAATAAAATCCCTGAAGCCACAAGTTAGAGGAGGAGAGGTTTATTTCAGCTCACATTTATAGAGGTCCCAGTCCATAGCTAGCTGACTCCAGGGGGGCTGATGTGGTAGAGGAACAACAGTCCATGGCAGGCAGGCAGGCAGGGAGCACCCAGCAGGGAGCCCACCTTCTTTCTCTCCCTTTATATTCTGTCCCGATCACAAGCCTCATAACCAGTGCCACTTATACCCAGGATATTGCTTCCTATTACCCACACCCAGAATTATGCCAAACCAATCAGTGGACTAATCATCACACCCTAAATTCATATTCACACACCCTAGATCCAGCTACTTCTGCAAAGCTCCATGTATGTGTGCCTGAGGCTTTGGGGGAACATCTAGAATGCAAACTGTAACTTGCAGTGTGGAATGCCACAGACTCTTCCTGGGACGGAAGGTTGCATGACTGTTGTTGGTTGCAATTATGCTTTTTTCTGATCTTATGATAGGGAATTTTTTTTTCATAATTTTATTGATAAACAGCAATGAGACAGTTTCAAATCAAATCGCTAGGACAGTTTCAATAACACACTGCATACATTCTTAGTGGTTAATTGCTGTACAAGATGTGGACTTGAGATCCTATTTACAAACACCATTAGGACAAATCATTCTATTCATTAAGAGAATGTAACTATATATCTATCCCATCTACTTTGAATACACAGATA